GAGATGTTCTGGAGGCTTGTGAAGATCATTCCTCCGCTGAGGAACAGTGAAAGTAAAGCTTCTGGAAACAAACGCTCCTCAAAAGATCCTGAGGATCAGATTTGAGACTCTAAAACATGATTGATGGAGAATCAAGTAAAGCTGAGCTGCTTCAGTGCAGTAAGTGTTCATCTGGAGATATTACTGCACTTATTCTGACCTTTACTTGATCAAAACCAGTCCAGATCTGAAACGAGAAGCTCCAGCTGAAGCTGGACGTTTCTACAATTACACTAAAAGAGCTTTTATTTATCAGTCAGATGTCGGAAGGCATGCAGTAGATTGTGTGCAATTGTTTTTTTTAAGTTGCATTATTTACATTCTCACATTTGGCAGATGGTTTTATCTGAAGCGACTTGCATTGCATTCAAGCTGTACATGTTTCCAGTTTTCAATTTTGCATGCATTCCCTGGGAATCAAAGCCATGCCTTTGGCATTTCCAGCACCATGTGCTACTGTTTGAAATTATGATGCCATATTTAATTCATTATTGACTTGTTTTATTAACTCGAGCCCCAAATTTTTTGCATGCAGCCCTGATTTTCCTGCATTACACAAGCGGCGCGTGTAAATGTTGTTGTGAACGTGCAGCGTTCCCGTTCTTCCAGTGTGTTTGTGGAGAGCCGTTTCTCCTGACACACAAAAGCTCCTGCGGCTTCATTGTGTCTCTGTGGGTTTGGTCTTTGCTTACAGTAAGAGGAACATCTGAGCGCGCTGGTTTTGTCTTTCAGCTGAAGGTCACGCAGATGTAAGCGGATCTGTTTCCGGCGTTATGCGAGTATCTGTGTCTGCACTGATAGCAGAAGCCCATCCACACCCCTCACCTCAGCCAATCACACGCTCCTCAGGAACATATTCTGTCTAGAATCACTTCAGATAGACAAGTCTTCATCTCTATTAGAGGCTCTTCGGCTTCTTTACTTGCTTTTAAGTGTCTCAATCGAGCGACTGTTCCTTTAAACACAATCACACTCGAAAAATAATCGGGCCTAAATTTAAGAATGATGTATTTGAATTGCATGTCAAGTTTCCATGCATTTGGATTACACAGTTTTAACATAAACTAATAAACGTAACATGATGCATTCATGCATAAATCAAACAGCTCCGATTTTTGTAATAATACTAATAAACTCAATGCATTTTAATTAACCAGGTTTATATATGATTTATTATCAATAAATCCAGTTTGTTTCAATCTCACACATTTTATCTTCTTGAATATTGCTTGTTCCACAGCTATTTTAACCATGTTTATACTTTTTAACTGAATAAATTTAATTATTTTCATAATGAACAATTTATGCTGGATCTAAGCTATTTGAATAAATGCATTTATATGAAAACAGAATTATATCAATGTAATCAAATAGTTAATAATAATAAACTATGCCATGATTTCTGAGTGCAGTTTCATTGATGTATGACTGACAAACATGCATCACATTAAGTTTATTAGTTTTTTTTATGTTAGCATGTAATACATTAGCCAATTTAGGCCTAAATATTGATATTTGTAGGAATAGATTACTGATAGATGCATACAGGCGACAACACATCCGCTTCATAAAACACCTGCTTGAGTGTCTACTTGTGTGTGTGTTGTATTTGCATGTATGTGTATGTTCTCTCTGTGTGTGTGTATGTGTGTGTGTGTATATGTGTATGAGTGTGTGTGTGTGTGTGTGTGCGCGTGTGCGCGCGCGTCTGTCTGTGTGTGTGTGAGTGTGTGTGTGTGTGTGTGTGTGTGTGTCTGTCTGTGAGTGTACGTGTGAGTGTGTGTGTGAGTGTGTGTGTGAGTGTGAGTGTGCGTGCATGCGTGTCTGTCTGTCTGTTTGTGTGTGTGTGTGTCTGTTTGTGTGTGTGTGTGTGTGTGTGAGATTTACGGTCTCTTTCAGAAAGTGCTGTGGTCGTGCTGAAGCTGCTGTTGTGTAATTGTGTCCTGTCATTCACAGTGATTTGCATCTTTCTCCTGCTGCAGATAAACTTTGAGGTGTGTGTGTGTGTGTGTGTGTGTGTGTGTGTGTGTGTGTGTGTGTGTGCTCGTCCAGCATTTCTTCAGTGTTTCTATATTACACTGATCTAGATAAATCCCAAACCGTGTCAGACTCATAAGAAGGTGTATTTTGCATATGTTGCATATATTGCTGATATATTGCATTCTGTATTTTCACACATTTACATGCAAATCCTACTAAAAAATACTGATATATTATTTAAATCCTGAAGCATTTATATATATATAATGATCGCACAGCTGTTAATTTATGCTGATAGACTCTCTTTATGCGAAATACTATTTCTTGTTTTTTTCTTTATTTTATTTTTTTGTGGTGAAATATGAGCCCAGACGGGTTTTTTCCTGTCAGATCCACCCATCTTGAGGTGTGAAGTGTTTGTGTTTGATTCTTCTAAATAAATGTGTTGAATAGAAGCTCTTTTGCTCTCAGACGAGCTTCT